GGGGGGGGGGGGGGGGGACACAAGGTGGACAAGGTGGACCGTTGCAGTTATGTGACATACGCTGTAACTAGCTAAAGTAAAGCTCTCCTGTTCAGTAGCTTAGGCTAGAAATGCACTATATGGTCAAAAGTATGTGGACACCCAAACTGTTGAAGCCATTTTTGTCCTGGGTTTAGTAGTACCTGTGTGTGTGTGTGTGTGTGTGTGTGTGTGTGTGTTGTAGTTCCCTTTTTGAACAGCAGGCGGTGTGTTGAGTCAAGGGAAAGACCAAAGAGGTGAAGCAGTAATCACAGAGCAGGTGTGTCGTTGCCGGAAGAAGCACACTGTTTTTTTTACCACCACTGAGCTGTTTGTGTTTGTTTGTAAGTTAAACATTGATGTGAGGGCGTACAGGCCGCCGTCTGTAGTGTGGATGGACACGCTGTACAAATAAATACTCTTGAAAGGGCCCGTGTGGATGTTTGGAAATGTGGATTACTTAACCGGCATGCTACACAAAGGCAACGCATCAATTAGGCAAGTACTGCTACAGCTGCCCCTCAGTGGCCTGTCGGTTGTTTTCTTTTGGTTCAGATCACTACACAAACATTACCCCATGTGTGTCTGCTACACTTTCCACCACAGTTTGGAAGCTGACTGCATTTGTGAAGTTGTGCTTTAAGGTCTCACAGTTCGTGTCTCCAGCTGACGGCGTTGAGGTCGGAGGTCGGGGCTCTGTGCGGGCCAGTCAAGTTCTGGCACGCCAAACTGGAAAACCCATTCTTTCACCATTTCTTTGCGCATGTGGAAACACAAACTGTTACACAAGTTTCTAAAATATCATTATCTACTGTAGAGACAAACACGAACACAGTGAGAGAGAGAGTGTTGTATTTCTTTCTGTTTTTCTCTGTGGTCTTGTCACTTGTTTGAAGTGGGGGGGCTCGGTTGTGTTGTTTGGTCACTGTCATATCTGATCAGACCCCACCCAGTGCACCCACACAGGCCTTATGGAGCAGATCAGTTTTTAACTGTTCAACTTTGTAAGAAATTATAGCTAAAGATGTATATAAATTGTTTTTATTTTCAGTTTCTAATTTACAATAAAATAAATCTCCAACTAGATAATTAATCATTTTCTACTTCAGAGAATTTGGCTGCAATCTTGCCATTATAATACAGAGCCCACAGTACCTCCACAGTATACTAAACACCAAACTGGCCATTTTTGTCGTATTGGCAGTGAAAATAAAACTTCCAAACATACTGGATGTTATTTATAATAGAGTATTATTTGCAAAGCTTTGTTAAATATTAACTGTCTCTGCTAATGTGTTTGTATTCAGCTGCCATATCATGACTGCCACTGTATTGGCACAGGGTGTGGTTTCAGTCAAACCATGAAAACAACACACGCTGTCCACATACCTTTGGCCACACATTCTGTTTTTAATGAAAGGTTCTTTGTGTCTGAAGCCAGAAATATGACCTTGTACAGTTAATATAACTCAACCAAACCTTTGTTTCCTTACAGGGATCACTCCCATGTTGCAGCTCATCACCGCTGTGATGAAGGATCCTCAGGACAAGACGGTGTGTCACCTGCTGTTTGCCAACCAGGTCGGTTTCATCAGCCAGGATCACATGATGCACTGATGTTTGCAATTATTGGTTTGTCTTGTGGTGGGTTATAATGAAAGCAGAGGTGGAACATAAGACCTGGTTCTCCCTGTCCTGTCACAGACTGAGAAAGACATCCTGTTGAGACCAGAGTTGGAAGAGATTCAAGTCAACAACCCGGATCGGTTCAAGCTGTGGTTCACCTTGGACAGAGCCCCTGAAGGTAAGTTCCCTAACGATGCTCATCACCTGTTCAAACCATCAGCAGCATTGTACCTGTATTTATATCCAGGGCTAACACATTTTCATTATTTATGATTTAATTCGGTGGAAAAAATGTCAGAAAATTGTATAAAATGTCCAAGAGCTCAGAGTAAAACTTCAAACCCCCAGTTGTTTAGTTTATTATAAAGGGAAACTGAAAGGTTTTAACTATATTTGGATGTATTTCTGTGAATGCTGAATATGCATTAGGTATAGGGGAAGTAGCTGGTGATGTTTTGTGATAGCGAAACTCAAAGGCAACTGTATGTTTGGCCGTTTCCGCTGAAACTCTGTATTCATTTCCTGATGAAAATTGAGGCACATTTGACTATTTTGATAATTTATTAATCATTTAGGTCATTTTTTTTTTAAGGCAAAGATCTGCATGTCCAGTTTCTCAGATGAGGATTTGCTGTTTTGTCTTAATGTCTTAATGTTTTGCATGTAAAAAAATATATAATAATAATAATCTGAAAAGTAATAGTATCAGGTCTCTGAAATGTAGTGGAAGTATAAAGGCAAGTATAAAATCAAAGAGAGAGAAAGTGCCTGAAAAAGAAATGTACTTACTTTCTTTCACTGTGTATCAGTAATGTTTGCACTGAGTGGTACACATTATTCTCACCAGTAGGTGTCACTAGTGCACTGGTATATCAGTATTAAGTTGAACAATGTAGGCCCATTCTCAATGAAAGATTTACTGATAAATGTTTAACATAAAATATACCATGAATACAATTAAACACAGTAATGTATTATATTTATTTCATATTAAAATGAGCTTATATTAAAGGTGAATAAGGACAAACAGACATTTAATGGGAAGTGTGAGCAGAGAGAGAGAGACGGAGAGCAACCCGCTGGTCTAACAGGCAGTTTCTGGTCTTTTTTTCATGTAGAGCAAGGATTATGGCACTGAATCAAACACACGATGCTGGGAAACCTGTCCGTTAAGCAGAGGGGTTGAGTCTGATGTTAGCTGACTCAGGTTCAGTCCTGACTGTTGAGATCCTTCAGCATTTCTTTNNTTTCTTTATTTCCTGACTTCTGAGCTCCTGGAAAAACTCCCAAGTAGTAACAGAGTTTTTATGGTGATGATTTTGATATTTATAGATTTTTTTTTTTGCATTTAAACATTGGTGCCTTTTCTGCGTTTCAGACTGGGAGTACAGCCAAGGCTTCATCAGTGAAGACATGGTGAGGGAACACCTGCCGCCTCCCAGTGAAGACACTCTCATCCTGATGTGTGGACCTCCGCCTATGATCCAGTTCGCCTGCAACCCCAACCTGGACAAAGTCGGCCACTCCAATAGCCGCAGGTTCACCTTCTAGACACACGTCCACACCAAGGAGTCGAGGTTTGGGCATATAAGGGTGTCCAGTTATCATTTTCTCTACCCCAAAAGCATTAAAGCACTTGTGCAGTGGGTATTGCACTATGTATACTATATTTATGCCATGAATATTATTCATGCAACAGAATCACAGCGCGGACCAATTTATGTAATCAGGAAGTGTTGTGGAAGGGCAGGATGTGGTGGGCTTGCTTGTGGATTGAAAAAAAGAGTATGTAGAGGAGTTTCCTGATGGAAAACTTTGAAATATGGATGTGATTCCAAATCTGTTGCGAACAAACCCTGCTGTCCTGCTGTAGCCTCAGTTCGGTTTCAATATCAGTCGTTGAGGTTTACTGGCTGTTTTTCTGAGTGCCTTAACACTTGCAAAGCTTTTTTATGCACAGTTAATGAATTCTGACCTTCATTTATACAGAATTGTATTAATTCCATTATTGCTGTTGAGACTGTGTTAACGTGTATCTGCCCGTTATCTATCGTCACGTCAAAGATGTCAATACTTTGCTTAAACATGTTCATAGTGATTTATTGAACGTGATGTAGTTACTGATGATGTCTTTGCTGCAATTGTGGCTACTTGCTTGGATATGCAACATAAAACCCAATTGCTATTGAATTTGACGCTTTTATTTTGTTGCTCTGCAGGACTCAGACAAACGTACAACTCATCCTCATTTACAAGTGTTTGATCATAACTTGTAGCAGCTCCCTGGGCTGGTTGAGAGGGATGTTAAGACAAGGAAGGATGCCGATTTCTCCTTTTATTACAAAAAATTTAAAAACAATGACTTTGGTTTCCATGTTTACGTTCAGTAATGCTGTCTCTTAAAAAGGAATCTGGAGAAGAAACACTTTCATGCCAGGAGTTAGATGGGAGGATCAATACCACTCATGCTGTGCGTAAAGTGAGCTAGAGCCAGGAGTTTATTAGCTTAGCATAAAGACTAGAAGCAGCGGGAAACGCTTAAAAAAACAAAATCCATCTTCCAGCACCTCTAAAGCTCACTAATTACCATGTATCTCATTTAGTTAATCCATACAGAAAAAAAACTATTTGTGGTTTTAGGGAGAGTTCTGTGCTGTAACTATTGTGTTGTGAACAGCTTCCAGATTAAACAAGAGATTTGTGTTAATTAGTGAGCTCCAGAGAGTCCGTTCTAGGTGATTCCCCCTGCTTCTAGTCTTCATGCTAAGCTAATCACCTCCTGGCTGTAGCGATCTTCTCACCTTATTCTTGTAAAGAAAGAAAATAAGCTTACTTCTAAAAATGAGAACTATTCTTTTACAAAATAAAAAACGTCCAGTGGTATCTAGCTATGCAGATAGTTTTGCTTTTATTCATCCAGCCAGGTTTTAAGATTTCTGTTTCAACCTCCGATGCCATGTAGGTGAATGGAATTACATGTTTGGAGCTCACAGCATTGAAAGATGACAAAAAATTCAATAGGTCAGAAAGAAATGTCCTTGGTAATACACAGAACACTAGCCACAGTTATAAAATAAAAGTTGTTCCATAGAAAACTGTTTAGAGTGAGGTCTGTAGATAGTACAGTGCAACAAGGACTCTTTCTGAAAAGGTACACTACAGTAAAAGTCATTTTTAATGCTGTGAGTCTATTCAGCTTGTGTTGCAGGGGAGGCAGAGATCCCAAAACCTGGACAAATACAGTCAGAACTATGTGTTTGCTGTGATTTGAATGAACTTAAGATAAAGCATCTTTACGTACCACAAATAAAACTTGAGTACTACACACAGCTGAGGGCGACTCCTCAAAAAAACAAACACGTATGCTTACCTCACTGATTACTGAAGACAAATTCTTGAATAATAAAATAAATGAAAGAGGTACATTAATGCTTTCAACCCCCCCCTTTTTTTAGTTCATGCATTATATTTGACAGCTTCAATAAATATTTATACGGTCATGAAAGCTGTGGATGTACTTCTGAATGATGAAAATACTGTAAAAGGTCTCATGTTCTACTACAAAAGGTGGCTGGAGGGATTTGTGTTTGCACAGTTTGTTCTTTTGTCACAAAGCTCAGAGACTCAAACGCCACAGTTTTCAGTTTCTGTCCCGTTGACCTCCGGTGGGCAGACAGCGACCTCGTGAAAAAACTCATCGTCCTTCAGCATGATCTGAAACACAAAGGGACCAAAGAGGATGAAGGAAACTCAAAAGATGAACTCAATTTTCAGTTTTCTAATAAGTCAGGTTTGTACGCTCTATTGTTAGTCCTTCTTCTACTCCCATAAATGGAGAGAACTTTTTCTTTTATCAGGTGTTCTGTACTGTGCAGTCACACAGGAGCAGCTTAGTGTCTCACCGTCAGATTGTTGATTCCCTCAGAAAATGCTCCTATCTGCCTAACAGTCCCTTCTGAGTCTTCCATCTGTCAAATAACACACAGACAGAGGGTCAGGCAACAGATTAATAAGATACAAAATGAAGAAGCTCATTCAAAATGCTCCAGAGTAACGCTTCCTGGTATTTCCTTAAGAAATCCAGTTGTATGAAAGAAGAAGAAGTATCTCTGTACCTGTTCCAGGTGGTCAAGGTTCTCCTCATAGATCCGGACACCCCTCTGGAAGCTGCTGCTCTTGGGCATTTCCACATTCATGGGGCAGACGTACTCCTCGCCATCATCCTGACGTTTCTTTCTCAAAGTGCCAAAACCACCGAATGACATACGCCTGGGCTGGAGGAGGAAAAAGGTTTGTAATCGAGGGCTTTTGCTGATATAGAAGCGAAGAGAATTAGTATTTTGCACTAAATTCAAGTAGAGCTGAGACAATTGGTTCATTAATTTATCCAGCCATACTTTTAGCCCTGCCCAAAAAAAAATCCTGAACCCAAAACCAGTAAAGAGAAAAACATTCAAACTCCGCAATTCAGCACCACATAGTTTCCAGTCTTTTATGTTTTCAACAGCTACCGGTATTTATTGTGATTATAAAGAAATCACTGAATTTGCTTTACACAGACTTTAAAAACATGGCAAACTCCTCCTAGTTACAGCTCCTCACTAGAGAATATGCTACATTTTTATGCCTTATCTGACAGTAACTTAGATATCTTTCATAAGCTTGAGTATGTTGTGGACTGTAGAATT